GGGGAAGGTGAGCCGGGGGGGGCAGGGGGGCGGGGGGGCGTTCGCTGGGGGGCAGGGAGGGGGGGTTAGCTGGGGAGAGCAGGGGGCAGGGAGGGGGGTTAGCTGCGGGGGGGACAGGGGGGCAGGGAAGGTGAGCCGGGGGGGGCAGAGGGGAGGAGGGCAGCAGAAGGGGAGGTAGCGACATGCCCTCCACACCCCACCCAGGCCTTTCACCTCGAGTGACCCCATCCCCCAACTCACTGACCTGCCCCCAGGCCCCACCCCCCTCACAGATCCACCCTCAGGCCCCGCCCCTCACCGATCTGCCTGTAGGCCCCGCCCCTCACCGATCTTTCCCCAGGGCCCGCCCCTCACCGATCTGCCCATAGGCCCCGTCCCTCACCGATCTACCCTGAGGCCCCGCCCCTCACCTATCTGCCCGTAGGCCGCGTCCCTCACCGATCTACCCCCAGGCCCCGCCCCTCACCGATATGCCCGTAGGCCCCGCCCCTCACCGATCTGCCCGTAGGCCATGCTAATCAGCCTCTCGTTCACCAGCTTGTCCGTCCGGGGGTTTCGAGGCTGGCGCTTCATGATGTCGCTCTCGGCGGCTTCGTAGGCCAGGGAGATGGCGGGGACCTGGGGAGAGGGGGAGGGGGTTAGAGGCTGGGCCTGCCCCAGTGCAGATTGGGTGGGGCTGAGCGGCAAAGGGTGCGATACATGGGGTGAGTCCATCCCCCCTGCAATCACACCCGACATTATTGCAAGGCTGGTTTAGTCAGCACCTGCCCGGGGGGGCCGGTGCAGAGAGGGAGGGGGCGCCCGGGGGGGGGCTCACCATGTCGGTGCCCAGGTCGATGCAGAGGATGGTGATGGTGCCGAGGGGCAGCGGGATGTTGGCCATGATGAAGAGCAGGAACGGGGTGATCTCGGGGATGTTGCTGGTCAGCGTGTAGGCGATGGATTTCTTCAGGTTGTCGAAGATCAGGCGCCCTGCAGGGCGAGATTTGGATGTGAGGGAGGGAACATAAGAACGGCCGTACCGGGTCAGACCAAGGGTCCATCCAGACCAGTGTCCTGTCTACCGACAGTGACCAATGCCACGTGCCCCAGAGGGAGCGAACCTAATGGTAATGATCAAGTGATCTCTCTCCTGCCGTCCATCTCCATCATCTGACAGACAGAGGCTAGGGACACCATTCCTTACCCATCCTGGCTAATAGCCATTAATGGACCTAACCACCATGAATTTATCCAGTTCTCTTTTAAATACTGTTATAGTCCTAGCCTTCACTACCTCCTCAGGCAAGGAGTTCCACAAGTTGACTGTGCGCTGCGTGAAGAAGAACTTCCTTGTATTTGTTTTAAACCTGCTGCCCATTAATTTCATTTGGTGGCCCCTAGTTCTTGTATTATGGGAACAAGTAAATAACTTTTCCTTATTCACTTTCTCCACATCACTCGTGATTTTATAGACCTCTATCATATCCCCCCTTAGTCTCCTCTTTTCCAAGCTGAAGAGTCCTAGCCTCTTTAATCTCTCCTCTTATGGGACCCGTTCCAAACCCCTCATCATTTTAGTCGCCCTTTTCTGAACCTTTTCTAGTGCCAGTATATCTTTTTTGAGATGAGGAGACCACATCTGTACGCAGTATTCGAGATGAGGGTGTACCATCGATTTATATAAGGGCAATAAGATATTCTCAGTCTTATTCTCTATCCCCTTTTTAATGATCCCTAACAGCCTGTTTGCTTTTTTGACCGCCTCTGCACACTGCGTGGACATCTTCAGAGAAGTATCCACGATGACTCCAAGATCTTTTTCCTGACTTGCTGTAGCTAAATTAGCCCCCATCATATTGTATGTATAGTTGGGTTATTTTTTCCAATGTGCATTACTTTACATTTATCCACATTACATTTCATTTGCCATTTTGTTGCCCAATCACTTAGTTTTGTGAGATCTTTTTGAAGTTCTTCACAGTCTGCTTTGGCCTTAACTATCTTGAGCAGTTTAGTATCATCTGCAAACTTTGCCACCTCACTGTTTACCCCTTTCTCCAGATCATTTATGAATAAGTTGAATAGGATCGGTCCGAGGACTGACCCTTGGGGGACACCACTAGTTACCCCTCTCCATTCTGAGAATTTACCATTAATTCCTACCCTTTGTTCCTGGTCTTTTAACCACTTCTCAATCCATGAAAGGACCTTCCCTTTTATCCCATGACAATGTAATTTACGTAAGAGCCTTTGGTGAGGGACCTTGTCAAAGGCTTTCTGGAAATCTAAGTACACTATGTCCACTGGATCCCCCTTGTCCACATGTTTGTAGACCCCTTCAAAGAACTCTAATAGATTAGTAAGACACGATTTCCCAGCACCCAACGCCCCCACTCTCTCTCCCCCTCACCCCACCCCCTCACCCTCCTCGACGCCGGTGACGATGGAGGCGAAGTTGTCGTCCAACAGGATCATGTCGGCCGCCTGCTTGGAGACGTCGGAGCCGGCGATGCCCATGGCCACCCCGATGTCGGCCTTCTTCAGTGCCGGGGAGTCGTTCACGCCGTCGCCTGTCACGGCCACGATGGCGCCCTGCGGGGGGTGACACGGGTCAGGGCCGGGGCCAGGATGGGGGGGGAGTCACGGGGGGCAGGGGGGACTCAGACCTGTCTCTGGCAGCCCTCCACGATGATGAGTTTCTGCTGGGGCGAGGTGCGGGCGAAGACGATCTCCGTGTGGTTCTGCAGGATCTCGTCGATCTGCTCCGTGCTCATGTCCTTCAGGTCCGTGCCGTGGATCACGCAGGCCTTGGCGTCCCTGGGCGGGAGAGGGGGAGGGTCAGCGCTGGGACGTCTCCCCAGGCTGGCACCACTGGGCCCCCTCTCTGCACCTGCCCAAAGCCCCCTGTGCCCCCTCCTTTTGCTGCTCTGCCCCCCCTCCCCCACTCCCCCCCAGGACCAACTGGGAAATGTTTGTAATATTTTTATGAGTCCTGTGCCTGCCTCAGTTTCCCCTAGAGGGTGCATGGCCGCTCAGAGGGGGACGGGATTCTGTCTGCTCTCAGACCACTGAGCCTGAGGGAAGAGGGGGACCCTTGGGGGTCTGGCAGATCAAAGGGGTCCTCTGAGGGGTTGCCCCGGAACTGGGGGCATAGCACAGGGCCTGTGGGCTCGGTGACACCCCCCCTGGGGCCCTGCCCCCCCTACCTGGGGTTGACCTGGCTGACGGGGATGTTGAGACGGGCGGCGATGTCTTCCACAGTCTCGTTGCCCTCGGAGATGATGCCCACACCCTTGGCGATGGCCTTGGCGGTGATGGGGTGGTCGCCGGTCACCATGATAACCTGGGGGCGATGGGGGGTTAATACACCTCGGGGGGGCGAGAGGGGTCACAGAATCAGAGATGAGGGTTGGAGGAGACCTCAGGAGGTTCTCGTCCAATCCCCTGCTCAAAGCAGGACCAAGCCCAACCAAAGCACCCCAGCCAGGGCGTTGTCCAGCCGGGTCCCTTCTAACCCGCCCAGAGGGGCCCAGAGCCAGGCCCTGCGGGCTCACCTTGATGCCAGCGCTACGGCACTTGCCCACGGCGTCGGGCACGGCGGCGCGGGGCGGGTCGATCATGGACATGAGCCCCACGAAGCAGAGGTTCTCGGTGGTGAAGTTCACGTCATCGCAGTCGAAGGCGAAGCCCTTGGGGTACTGCTCCTCGGGCATGTAGAAGTGACAGAACCCTGGGGGGGTCCGGGGGAGTCAGAGCCCCCAGCCGCCTGGCCCTAGCCCAGCCCCCGAGCCTGCCAGGGCCCCTCCTCCCAGCCCCGAGCACCCGTGTCCCTTCCCTCCTCACCAGCGACTCTGCACCCGTTCCCCTCCCCAACCCCCCCAATCCCCCGACGCCACCCCCGTCGCCCCCCGAGCACCTGCTCGCCCAGCCCCTCGACGCCCCTCGAGCACCCGCTCGCCCAGCCCCGACGCCCCCGAGCACCCGCTTGCCCAGCCCCCGACGCCCCCGAGCACCCGCTCGCCCAGCCCCCGACGCCCCCCGAGCACCCACTCGCCCAGCCCCCACACCCACCGAGCACCCGCTCGCCCAGCCCGCCCAGCTCCAGGTAGGCGTTCTGAAAAGCCTCCTTCAGCTCCTCGTCCAGCGGCTGCTCCTTGCCCTGCACCAGGATGGTGGAGCAGCGGTCCAGGATCCGCTCCGGCGCCCCCTTCATCACCAGCAGGTAGCGGTTGTCGTTGGGGTCCTCAGTCTCGTGGATGGACAGCTGGGGGGAGGGAGGGAGGGGGCATCAGGGGTGTGGCCGCACGCCCCCCCCCCCAGCCCTCACCCAACCACCAAGAGGGGTAACTGCCAGCCCCCCATATTCCTCCAGCCCCCCAGCAGGGAGCACTAACCTGCCCACCAATATCTGCCCCCATCCACCCCCCAGCCCCCTCGGATGAAAGTGGGAATTTTCTGTCGTATTTTTGAGTCCTGGGCGTGCCTCAGTTTCCCCTGCCCAGCGGTGGGGGGAGGGGGTTTCCGTCTGCGCTCGGACATGGGGGAGGGAGGGAAGTGAAGGGGCCTTAAGGAACTGGCTGGACCCCAGATTCCCCACCCCTCGGCAGGGAAGCCGAGCTTGGCCGGAGCGAGGCGACCGCGGAGGTCAGTGGGGGAAGGGACGCTGTCCAGACGGGGAGCATGACTGTGGGTCGCGGCAGCTTGGCCGGGCTCAGGGCCCCCAGGCCACGGCCAGGGCCCGAGGAACCCGAGTGCTGCAGACGCTGCCCGGCGTCCCTGCCGCGGGCACGACACCCCCAGGAGCCCGGCTCGGAGGCGCGGGGGCCACAGGGTGTGACATTGTGCAGCCTGTATGGTTTTATAAAAACATGATAATAAGTGAATAATGTAACTGGGATAGTTTTAGAAAAAGATGGTAAAAAGTGAGTATAACGTAACTGGGATATGCTTCATGCAAAAGGTCTCTTGTAAGGTATCATTACAAAGCTTATAATCTACGGAGTGTGATCATCCGATTTGTAGAAATGTACCACTCTTGTATCTAAAACTAGAAATATAAAATATAACTCTGAGGGCCTATTGTAATTGTGTAAAGTGTGGGCCATTAAGGATGGTTTTAAATCTTGATGACTCCCATTGTCTGCAGATGGCTGTATTTACCTGTGAGTCTCCCTGTATATGTGTGTGCTGGCAAGTGAGCAATGAAGTCTTGCAGTGACATGTGATCATGTCACCTGAACTGGAATCCATCTTTAACCTGGTGCTTTTCCAGTGAGGGGGGGGGGGGGTGGGGTGAAACCCG